GAGGTGCCTGGGGCACACACCTGCGCACCTTCCTTACGTGTGTGAGGCTGGAGCCCCACCTGCATTTACTTTGAAGACATTGTCACTGCTGGGTGGGTCCCTGCTGCTTTTCTTAGCCTTCAGCCCCAGCCCTGAACTCTACAGCTTCGAGTTTAATTTCTCAGTAGCCAATGACACAGGGTACAGGGTTCTTAGCCCCAGACTGTTAGTTTAGGCACACACCATCCCCAGTCTGGAGGTCTAAGTGGAATGCAGTCCACCATACAGCAGAATGCCTCAGCCAGTGTCTTCACGGGGCTCCCGGGGTATCTGAGTTGCATTATCCTTCATGCTGTGGGGAATTCATTGCATTCTTACCTGATATCTCCTTGGGAGATGCAGCAGGAAGAAACCCAAGCCTCATGGCTGTAGCTGCCGTATTCTAACAGGACAGTTCAAGTGGAGCCAGAGGAAAAGAAGTCACGTGAGCTGCATCTTGCAAACCTCGTGATCTGTATGAGTGGTGCCTTCTGTGACATGTTGTGCATCTTGTCCTCGCAAGAACACAGTGTGATTTCCTGATTAGTGTTTATATTAACTTGACACAACCTAGTGTCATCTCAGAGCAGAGGACCTCAGCTGAGGAAAATACCTCCCAAAGAGCCACCTGTAGGCAAACCTGTAAGGCATTTTCCTCATTAGTGATTGATGTAGGAAGACACAGCTCATTGTGAGTGCTGCCACACCTGGGCTGGTGGTCCTAGGTTTGATTGGAAAGAAGGGTGAGCAAGTCAGTAAGCAGCACCCCTTCATGGTCTCTGCATCAGCTCCTGCCTCTTGTGTTGGGTTCCATCCGTGGCCAGTGGACTCATTTTGGATATGAAAGTTGAATACATATTTTCCTTCCCAAGTTGGTTATGGGGTTTCATCACAGTGATAGTAACCCTGACTGAGACATCATCACTCTACAGGCTTCTTTAAATTGTATGGAACACATCAACCACGCATCAACCTGTGTGAGCTCCAGTAAGTGTCCCAGCCCCGCAGATGATAGCATGGGCTCAGCCTACCCTACCAGTGCTGGTCCCACTCCACCCTGCCCAGCTTCATCTTGCTCTCACCCTGCCTGGCATCAGTTCTGCCCTATCCTGCATGACCCTTTCTGTGTGGTGAAGTCACTTCTGATGGTCCCTTAATTAATCAAACAAGAAGTATCCCCCACCCCACCACCCTGCAAAACAGAAACAAAAGCAAAAGCACAGTATCTTGTCAGAGATGTCCAATGATAGCATGTTTTAGCAATGGTTAACATATAAACATATGTACAGGTAAATCTTTGCACTCAATCATTAATATAAATAAAAGTGGAAATTATATAGGCTCAGGGTTAGAACACCAAACAAGTAAAACTGCTTGCCTAAGGAAAGCTTTGTATTTCTGGACTCTCTGTGTGTGTGTGTGTGTGTGTATGTAGTGTGCCTGCATGGTACCTGTAGGTGTGTGAGCATGCTTGTACATGTGTTTGCAGTGCACCTGTCTGGAACCTGTGGGTGTGTGAATATGTGTGTGCATGTGTGTTTTCCATGAACCTATATGGCCTGTAGGTGTGAGAACATGGGTGGATGTGCACCTACAGTATACCTGTGTGGTACCTGCATGTGTGAGCACATGTGTATGTGTGAGTACAGGTCATTCGTAATGTGGCTGCGGTATCATATACTATGTGATGTCTGGGCTTTAGCTCCTGTATTTGTCATTTTGAAAATTAGAATGGCAACATTGGCACCAAAAGGTTCACAGTTAGTGTACATACATGTATTTTTCTATCCTATGTAGGTTTCCCAAAATTAGTCTAATCAATTTCTAAAAATTCATTCATATTTAGGCAAAAATGCAGACTGACAAAATGCATGTGTGGTTCTAACTAATGAAGAGAAGATGATGGAGGTGGCGAAATCAACAGAGTGGGCAAATATGAAAGAAGGCCAAGAAGCAAACATGAAACCCTACAGAGACAGAAAGTGTCGGTTGCCCAAGCATGAGGACCTGAGTTCAATACTCATCACCCACACAAAAGGCCAAGTATGGCAGTGCGTGCCTCTAATCCCAGTACTGGGAGGTAGAGACGGGAGAATCCCATGGACTTGACGAGCAGCAAAGCTATCCAAGCAGTGAGCTCAGGGTTTAGTGGAGTCGCTGCCTCAAAGGATAATGCGGAAGGAACTGAGAAACTTTTCATCTAACATCGAGCAACCTCTAGCCTCTCCATCCACATGCACCACACACACACACACATACACATACATACACAGTTCTTGGGGGACAAGGTTTGAAGTGTATAGGCTGACTTGTCTTCCAGCCCAAGCTCTCTCTGCTTTCTGACTGCCAACACAATGGACCAGTGACCTCCCTATCTGACCTGTTGCCTCCCCACCATGATGGGTGGACTGACCTCCCTTGAAACTGTGAGCCGGACAAATCCCTCGCTTTGAATCACTTCTGCTAAGTATTTTCGTGAGAACAACAAGGAGAGTAACTGACTCAGTGTGCCATGACCGTGAAGCCATAATTGGGGTAACCCAACAGAAGTTCCTGCCTATGGCTGTAGAGACAGGAAACAGCTCAGGAAGAAAGAACCTGTCCCAAGCCTGTCATTTGTAGCCCCATCGCCTCGTGCAGAGTATATTGGTTACTTTGAGGCTGCTGTGATATAATACCATGATCAAAGGCAATTTAAGAAAGAGACAGTTTATTTTGGCTTCCAGTTCTGTGAGGTAGGAGGGCTGGAGGCATGGCAGCCGGCAGTAGGCGTGGTATAGGCAGGGGCAGGAAGCCGAGAGGCTGCTTTATATAAAACGAGCTCAAAACAGAAACAGCAAACCAGAAGTAGAAAGAGACTATGAATTCTCAACTCCCACCATTAGCGATATACTTCCTCCAGCAAAGCCACATGCAGTAAACCTTTCCACAACAGTACCACCAACTGAGGACCTGGTGTCCATGTTAGCCAGTGGAGGGCATTCTTATTCAAACCACCACATGGGCTGTATTTGAAAATGACAATAAAATCTGTTAATCAAAAGAGATCTATCAAATAGACCTGAGACAGAAACCGGGAAGAATAAACAAAAAATGAGAGGCAGTGACGTTCCAGAAGGTACTTACCAGGCTTGTAGGAAAGACATCAGAGAAGACATAGAGGTTAGGGAGGCCTCTGTCCTAGGCTGCTTCTCTGTTGATTTGATAAGCCCCACAACAAAAGCAACTTAAGGAAGGAAGGGATTTGTCTTCACTGTCTATGTCCCAGCCCATCATGGAGGGAAGTCAGAGCAGGAGCCAAAGCAGACACCATGAAGGAATGCTGCACACTGGCTTACGATCAGCCTTTTCCTGGGGGTGCCACTGCCCAAAGGAGGCTGGGCCCCTCCACATCCATCTTCATTCAGAACAGTTTCTCAAAGACGTGACCACTGGCTAGTCTGATGGAGGATATGTTTTCAACTGGGTTTCCTAGTCCCAGGTTATGCTAGGTTGTGTCTAGTCAACACTGAACTGTAGCTCAGGTAACCTGACATTCTCATGCATCAGCAGATGGATACTAGTAAGATGATCGTATTATTTAAATGATCAAAGCAATCTACAGATTCACTGAATCCCAACCAAAATTCCAGGGACATTCATCACAGAAACTAGGATTGGGGGACGGGCAGGTTCCTAAAATGCATGTGGCATAATCCCAAATAGCCAAAGCAACAGAAACAACACCAAACGTTAAGGTGAGAGGTATCTAACCAAATTTATATTACAGAGACAGAGAAGCAAAAACTACAGCCTAACAGAAATAAATACATAGTCCACTTGAACAGAAGACTCAGAATCAAACCCTCGGAATTATGGCTTTTGGTTCTGGGCAAAGGTTCTGGAAGGAAACCTTGGGGGAAGGATAGCCTCTCTAGCAAATGGTGCTGGTACCAAAAGTGGGCATCCAAAGAAATTTGTCTTAACCTTCTGTGTCCTAGTCCATCACTAAAGGAAATCAGAGCAAGAATTAGAGCAGAAACCATTGAGGATTGTAGGTCATGGATCCCTCCCTGTCTTCTGTTCAGTCACCTCTCCACACAGCACAGATCACCTGCCTGGGATCTGGTCGTCTGGCTGAACTGGGTCCCTCTCTCACATTCTGCATTAAAAAAAAATCAAATCAAAATGGATCCACGTCTTTAATGTAAGAACTGGAACTCTTGACCTAGTTGCAGGAAATAGAAGGAATTTGAAGACGCAGACAGTCAAGAGCTTTCTGGAAAGGATATGAATGGTTCAGAAGAACAAATTGACACATGGGATTTCAAGAAACTAAAAGTCTTCTGGGCAGCAAGATCAAAATTCAGCAGAGTGAGGAGACAGCCTATGGAACAAGAGGAGATCTCTGTAAATACATATGCACCTGAGAGGATTAGTGTAAAGATTATGCTAAGAATTCAAAAAAAACCACTATAAAGACCAAAGCAATTAATCCAGTCAACAAATGGGTCCATGAGCTAGGCAGCTCTCAAAAGAAGTGCAAATGACCAGTAGAGTCTTGAAATGTGCCCTACATCCTTGGACACCAGAGAAAAGCAAATCAAACCTAGAGACTGGGTCACACCCCAGGTAGAATGAGTCACCAGTAAACAGTAAACAAATATGGAAAAGAATGCTAGGGGAAAGAAAACCTTTTTCTCTGAGGGTGAAAATGTAAATTAACAAAACCATTATGGAAAGACTTAACAACAGAAGCAATACCAGGTGTCACAGACCCACCACTCCAGGTGTGCCTCAGGAGGACCGTATGTCAGCCCATCCCAGGGACAGACGCACATCCGGTTTTTGCAATACTGCTCACAATGGCCACAAAACAGAACCTGTCTAGGTGTCTGTCAGTAGATGAATGGGTTTGTGGTGTATGTGCATAAAGGACTTTGATTCAGAAGTAAAGAAAAAAATACTTCTAATTACAAGAAATGGACAGAACTGGGGATTACCAGGTAAACGAAGTCAGTCAGCACCGTGTGTTTTCTCTCTCACAGGAAATCTAGGAAGAGGAAAAGAAGGGTGTAAAGTTAAGTGGGAAATGCCAAGATGCAGAAGGGGAAGGGAGACTCGTGATAAAGAGTGAGAGACGTGACCATGTGATCGAAGGACGTTATACATGTGGGTGGAAGCGGCAACGTGAAACCCCTCATTTTATACAATTAACATGTGTGGCTATAATCTGAAACAATCAAACAAGAACACTACTGTGATAAATGCTTTCACCTGGCGGTGCTGTGAGGTCATCGAGCTGAGATACCCCAGACGTGGAGGACGGGCATCATCTAAGTCCATGCTCATGAAGAGCCTAAAAAGTCCGTCACACAGAGTACATTTGTGATTGCCAGAGGCTGTGGGGGACATGGTGAGTCACTGTTTCATGAGCGGTCAGTGTCAATTTAAGAATACAAAAACATTTTAGAAGGGGATGGAGTGATGGCCTCTCTGGAATACGCTCGCCTATGAATATTAAAGGTATCGTGAATTGTGCTCTGTGGACTTGAGCACAATAAAAAGGAGAGCAAATATGCTTAAAGTAAGAATTCAAACGGCATGAGGAAGACACCAAAGTGACTTAGAAGAATTATCCAAAAGGGTAACAGGGAAGCATGAATAAAAGGCACAAAATGTGTATAATGTGTGATTTGCTTATTTAATTTAAAAAGTATATAATACTCAGAGTTCGTAAGGCATGAAGGAATTCCTAGAGGGTGTGTCAACACAAACACTAGAGATTAAATGGAAGAAATAACGTTAAGTGTTACACAAAAAGTCCTTTACATGCCTAGAGAGACTCCAGTTCTGAATCTCCAGAGCCCTGGCCTAGGAGAGACCCCAGAAGCATGGCCAGTAGAGGGAACCCAGTTCCTGCTCTCCTCAGCACCTGGGCTCTGTGCATCCGACCTTCAGAAGACAGCCACTCTCTGGTTCCCCTCTCCTAGATGGCTTTGGGTGTTGGGATGAATCCAGAAGCCCTGGGTCATAGAAGACAACCTCCAGGCTCACAGGCCTCTGGTCTCCAGGAGACACTGTGGGCAGGGCCACATAGACACTAAGAACCCTGTTGGGGGTCACCTCTCCTGTCCAAAGCCTTCTGGGGAAGCTGTGACTGGGTGCTGTTGGTCGGTCTGAAGAGCGGCATGTGGGGTGCAACCGGGCACTCTCATTTCTTCCAGCTCTTGCATTCGAGCTGGAGCAGGAATTTCTGTCAGGCAGCAGGTGGGGCTTCCTTGTGGATCGTGGTTTCTGTTCACACAGCCCCTTCCGCATGTTAGGTATAGAAACTGACTTTCATTTTCTCTCCAGGGCTCTCTGGTGGCACCCTTTGCTAGATTCCAGCACTATTACGATTTCTTAAGTTGCTTTGATTTCCATATTAGGCTTTGAAGAGGCAGATGGTAGCCATCTGGGCCTACATAGTCCATTGCTAGATAAGAGATACTTCAGCTCTTCAAAGAGACTTAATTCCTACGTAGAAAAACCTACCATCAACCAATGATCCAGTGTAAATCCATATTGTTCTTCAAACTTGACTCACAGATACCCGAACCATTTCCTAAGAGCCCCTTTCTCAAGCTTAGAGCCATCACTCATCCATGAACCACTTCGACCCAGCACAGAGGTGCATTCTGACTTGTCAGGACAACCCAATAGTCATACTCAGTGGACACTGGCCCTACCTGCCAGCTCAGAAGCCTCTCTGTCCTGTTTCCAGGTGTGCTCTTCCATGAGAGCGCATTAAGCTGTGCCATTAAGCTGGGTCCTCCAAAGCAGCCCTCAAACATGGTGCCTTTTCTCTGTTCAAATTCGTTTCTATTCTTATTCTCAACAGTCTGAAGACCTTCCCTGAGCTGATTAGGGTCGGTTTAGCTTGACCTGGAGCTAGCTCCTGGACCTGACCTGGACATTTGTTTCTCAATTCAATGTCCCACGTCTGACCTATATTAGTCAGCGTTCCTTGGCTGTGGCAAAACATATGAAGTAAACCAAGGAAGAAAGGTTCAGAGTGTCTCAGCCTCAAAGCCTGCAGTCTGTGACCTCTCAGGCACTATTTGTGTTCTTGTGACTGAGCTGTGCATCACAATGGGGGCAGAGGGCAAAGGAAGCTGCTTACCTCATAGTGCCTGCAAAGGAAAGACAGTGGGGCCGAGAAGAGACTGGGCCGAGGATTCCTTTCCAGACACTCTCTAGGAAGCCCAGCTTCCCACTCAAGCCAATACCTAGTTTAACCCAACAGCACTATGGCTGCGAAACAAGCCATTCTGTGCAGCCTTGAATACCCCTTCCTGGCATGACCACAGAGCTACCTGGTCATTAGAGGCAAGTGGACATTAGCTCATATTTACTCAGATTACTGACAGCTTCCCTGATCTTGTCATTTTGAAGGCTTAAGGATGCTCAACCCCTGCAGGGAGTGAGGAAGCCAATGTATCTAACTGCAGCATCTCCATTACAATGCACATTCATTTGGCAAACCCATGCCGCGGTTTGTTTTTGTAAAAAGGGGAAAAGATGTTTATTTACATATATATTTACATATACACATGCACATTTGCGTACGCACAACTAGCCTCAGAAACACTACTCAATGATTTTAAACTTTCTTTCCTCATTGTACTTGATCAAAACTGCCTGTTCTTACCAAGGTCGTCAACACTGGCTCGTTACAAAGACTGGCTACTGAGCAGACAAGAAATGAAACATTTTACTCAGCATCAATCATGCCCATTCAAATAGAGGTCATTTGGAGAAGGTAGACAAGTTCTCCACTCCCTTAGGGAAACGTGAAGAATCTCCCAGTGGTGGAGGTGGACTTGCCTGTTGAAAGGGTACAGCTCTCACACATCTTTTTAGCCAGCAGGAGCTGCTTCCTGCCTTGCTCAACACAGCTCCTCAGGAAGGATTGATAGTGATAGCTCACTCTCCATAGCTACCACATGTCACAGTGAATAGAACCTATGATGTCAGAGATTTCAGAGATCACTCAGCACAAGTGATTGATGCCCAGACTCAAACAGTAACAAAGATGACTAGTAACATTGTCAACAAACAAGTAACAGTATGACTAGTTACATTGTAACCAGGAATCAACCAGGCTGTAGTCCCAGGCCTTTGTGAACCTTTAGCTGATACCACAGTGACTTTAAAAGCTCTTTGTTAAAATAGAAAAGTGTACGGCTTTTCATTAATCTACATGGAAAGATACCTTCCCTCCTACCATAGGTCAGGGGTGTTCACAGAGGGAACAGATACAACTGGACTGCTGGCCACGGGGAACTAGGTCATACAGGGAAAGCAGAAGAAGGCCAAGAAGTGAACATCTATCTCTCTGGGCCAAACAATAGAAAGAGAATTTTATTTTCTGTGCATGGGTGTCTTACCTGCATGAATGTCGATGCTGTGTGCATGCCTGGCATTGGAGGAAGCTGGAAGGTGTTGGATGCCCTGGAACTTCATTTAGATAGTTGTGAGCCTTGGTGTGGGTGTTGGAAATTGAACCTGGGTCCTCTGGAAGAGCAGTTTGTGCTCTTAACTGCTGAGTCAACTGTCCAGCTTCCTAGAGAAAGATTTTTAACAGAGGTATGACTTTCCCTGGGGCCAGGGACATGCAAACTCAGCTTATCCACAGAGATTATTCATTTGCTTTCCTGGCAGATGCATCCTGAGCCCCACTCCAAGTGCAGCGTGGGCACCAGAGAAAGCGCAGGGCACTTGGCCTCCATCCTGGGCTCTTCTTACTGCCGGTTTTTCCACTATTAGTATCTGCAGAACATTCCTCATCCCTCATGTGGGGTTTCTCGACACTTCTGAACCACTGTTCTTCTGTCACACCGTCACTCCTTCCGGCCACTTGCAGAGACAACCAGTCTCCCACCACCCTGCTCCACTCCTCTACTCCAAGTGTTTGGCAGGCTTCATTCACAGAGGACCCTGAATCCAATCTGAGTCACTTAAGGAACACGACTATTCACAGTCTACAGTGGCAAGGGGTATTTATAAAACAGAAAGACTGTCATCTGCCCCTCACCCTGTTGGCTGACTTCTGCATCACTGGCCTCAGGGAACAGGTCTCATTCCCCAAACTACTGTACCAGTTATTTTTCTCATTGATTTCACAAAATAATGGACAGAACACCTGAGGGAAGGAAGGCTTTATGTTAGCACACAGTTCCAGGAGTCGTCCATCATAGTGGGGAAGCCATGCTGATTGGAGCTTTACTTCTATGTCAAAGAATCGGGAGGATCAATGTTGATTCCCATCTTAGTTTCAGCCCAAGACCCCAGTCCACACGATGGTGGTGTCAATATTTAGGGTGGGTCTTTAACTCTCAGTTAACCCAATCTAAATATTCTCTCAGAGGCATGCCCAGAGATCTGTCATTTAGGTGATTCTAGAGCTCGTAAAGACGACCGTCTGTATCAGCCACCATGGGCAAGTTGAGCTTAATGCAGATGCACACATGGTATCCCCTTCTCCTCCCCACCCTTCCTCAAAGGCCATCTGAAGGCTGCTTCCAGCTGACCCACTCTGCAGGCTCAGATCCCTTTCCTTGCTCTGTGGCTATATTTACATGCAGTTCCTCTCAGCGTATGGTGTGTGTGTGTGTGTGTGTGTATGTATGTGTGTGTATGTGTTCCTTCTCTACAGCTGTCTCAAGCCTGACAGGCGGCAGGAGCCCCATCAGTGTTCAGTCTGTATCACCTCCATCAGGTCTCGTCTGGACTGCCATGTGGATCTACATGAAGGATTAAGGCCGCCTTTACAATGTATTCGTTGTGTTTCCATGGTTCCGATTTCACCCAGACTGTAATATAAGTCATTTGCTAACAGAAGAAGCTGGTTCATGCAGATTCACCTGTGGCTTCAGACTAAGAGGGGGGATCTGGAGTGGAGACAGGAGCCTGAAGTCATAGACTCTGGTGGTTTGTGCTGACTGCCGACTAGATAGGATCGAGAACCTCTTTGGAGGCAAGCCTCTGAGCCTGTCTGTGAGGGAGCTTCT